GCCTGCCTCACAGGATTGTGATCAGACCATCCATGTGAAAAGGCTGTTAGCATCTGCCAATTGAGGCTGACCTTTGAAAAAACATTTCTCTTTTTAACTAGTGATTTGTTGTGATTTTCAAGCCACTGGGTTCAGATCTCAAACCACGGTCAGCTATGTGGGAATCCAGCCCTCCAAACAAAGACACAAAAAGACTGGGGAATTAATTCTACATAAAAGTTTGTAGTTGTATAATCTTTTTCTACCTCGTGCTCCAAATGACAAGCCTGTACAGGAGCCTCAGATGAACTCCCTGTATTGGCCTACAGCCATTGTACCACACCTTCGTCCCCAAGCAGCCCTTAGACATAAATGAGTGCTGCAGGCGTTTATCTGATGTTGCAGTGGCGGTTAAGGCAGCTGAGTTTATCTCGCTATCCGGGTGTTTCGTAGCGCTCTGTCTGCTATAGATAAATGATCTATCAATGAACAATAGTATCCTGGTATTACAGGAAAATGAATAGTCACAAAACACTCATAAGCATGTTCTTCGAGCCCAAATAGAAATATCTTAATAATTAAGAAGGAATATAATACAAAGATAATTGGAGGAAAATCTGCTGAAAAATTCTATGAAAATTTGATACCTAGCTGTCTTGACTCAAAAGGCAATGCTCATACCACCCTCTGATTTGCTTTCTTTACGATAATTACTGGCTCACACGTCTCAGTAATAGCAGCACAAGAGCACATGGGATGGAAGACCAGACAGCGGCTGAAAGGCACTAACCGAGCCACACAGAGAAGGTCGGAAAAGGCAGCAAAGGAGATATTTTAAAGGAAGTTGTTAACAGTTAAAACGCCCTTGTCAGAAAAAGATTTTGTCGAAATACATGGGGATATGGGTTTTGGGGAGAGGCAGACCCGGGTCCAAGTGCCCACCCTGTCTCCCACTCTATGCTCAGCCTTTGGTACATCACCTGACTGACCCGGCCCTCAGGTTCTCCTCTGCAAAACAGTGTAAGGGATCTCTAGGTGACAGCAGTGCTGCGAGGATTGACATGGAAAGTGACACGTGCTAGGTCCTTGCTATAAATTACAGGCATTAGTATATCTGGGAAAGATGCACTTTTGACTTAAAAGTCATAGGTTTTTAAGCATGAAGTAAAGGTAGAGTTTTTCATATAGAAGTTCTGCAGAGTTCTCTGCCGAATCCATCTACTGCATCGTCAGAAAGAGCCCTGCAAGCGGGACTCGGCCAAGGCGGTGTCGCTCGCCAGGCAGTGAGACCCGGGATGCAGCTCATGCTGGCCCCTATCAACAGTGGCTGTGGCAGGGTGGGCTGCACCCAGCCTGTGTCCTACACCTCAGAGGAGCCTGCAGACTAACAGCAGCATATTTCTGTCAGCCAGGCAAGCACAGGGCTTGGCAGCTGAAGGGAATAAGACAGGCAGTCAGAAAGATCTCCTGACTCTTTCTGGCTACCTTACAGGGCCTGCTTGGTTCTGTGACCTGTGAGTGCTTCAGTGACACTTTCTCGGGAGACAAAGGGACAGAGAGCCTGCTTCCCCTACTAATTCTGAAAAAGACAGAACTAGATGCAACGTCTGCTCTATTTGAAAACTCCACAGTCATTTTCATCAAAATCTTTGCTTTTTGCTAAAATACAAACATTTAAAATATACCTAGAAGAGACGGAAGGATTTTAAAGCCAGGTGACACATGGTCAGGCAGATCATCGTAGCAAGTAAGATGGAGATGTCTGACCGGCATGCTCCAAGCCCTGCCTGGAGTCCTCTAGCGCATGTTCTAGTATGTGTTAGCTCTATGAGAAAGCATGGGGAAGAGTATCTGATACCCACACAAAACCCGGTCACACGCGTTATCACAGAATTGCCCCACTGCAGCCTTCAGCGGCAAACTCCCACAGAGGCAACATCTTTCTGTCAAAATGAAGAGGGTAAGCAACAAGCTGAACGACCTCCTGGGGGGCAGACTGACGCGGGGGTCCAACTCCAGCTTCAGTTGCAGCATTAGGTGACACACGACCTCCATCTGCCAGAACGCAGAGACTGACGGAAGAAAGGCGTACTCATATATCCGCACACAGTCCCAGCATGATAGAGCCATGGCTTCCCAATGACAGCAAGTGAAGATGTAAGGTGGCAGATTAAAATTTATCATTAACGATGGTTAGCTCTTCCCGCTACCTTGGGAGTATGACCCAAGGAGGGAGATGAAAAACAGGCGACCCCTATGACAATGAAAGATAATGAGACCCGCGATTGTCCCCGGCCACACTCTGATCTGCTTGCTTTCGTGAGTGTTAGCAGGTGTCCTGTCGCTGTCTGCTGCACCAACAGAGCACATTCCACGACAGCATGAAAGTGGAGGACAAGAGGCTTCCGGACACCAGGCTGCATTCTGCGTTCCTTCTGTTCACCGAAGCCACACCACAGTTCAGGGCCAGGAGGACAGTCAAAGATTTACCTGACAGAGGTTCCGTGCCCAGGGCTACTCACCGGGAGTGAGACTACTCCCCCCGGACTGCCTAAGCGCCGTGTCTCTGGAGGACAGAGAGGAGCAAAGGCAGTCACAACTAAAACGGCAACAAATGTCTTGAAATTCTACCCGATTTCTTGTTTGTGGATGTACTTTTAAAAAAAGATGCAAAATTAAAGAGGAAATTTCTCTAAAAATAAAATGACAGAAACTCTCAGATTTTAGTTCCTGGAAAAGCATAATTAAAAATACACATAAAATTTAAATAATGCTAGAAATGGGAAAATAATGATTGCTAGAAGTTAATATGGTCAACCACTGGATACTGCCTTTAAATAAATGGGTCGATACTGAGTCTGAGGAAGCATAACAACCCCGTTATTAATATTTATTCACACACAAACATGTCATGGAAATTTGGCATAAAGCCACCTATTCCGAAGAGAAATTTGGGGAAAAGCAAATTCTTAGAAATCATACGCAGAGGTTCCGAGGATCAAGAGGATCGTAGTATGAGGAATTTCGCCCGGAAGGACTCTGATGTGAGATAGCCCTAAGTACTCCGCTAAGGTTCTGTCGTGTCAGTAAACAGAGAATAATCAATATCTTTTTTTTTTTATTCCTATCAAATATGAACAACTGGACGTCTCTTTTAGGGTTGCCCGATTCCATCCTCACGCCCTGAAGTTGACGTGGTTTGTAAACGTATCCCAACTCCGCCGTGCCATCAAGGTGGGCAGATCTGGGGGTTTCTGTGGGTTACCACTTTCCATGTTCCGGTCATGCTTTGATTCTATGCACTCAGTCATATCGAGGAATATGATTTGACCGGGGTCTGCCAGAGCTGTTCAGCAAGGTTTGTTACAACACACCCCAATTCAAAGGAGGGGGTAAGACAGTAAGCGTGTGTGTGTGTGTGTGTGTGTCTGTGTGTGTGTGTGAAACCAGACACATGCACTTGAGCTGGCACCTCACAGACCTCTCACTGCACCCCTGGTGATCAAACTCCACGCACCTCGCTTTTCTCACGGGTCCACGGGGACCTAACATCAGAGGGCTGCCGAGAGAAGGGAACGGCGCTATGTACGTGAAGCGTCTAGAACGTTCCCTGCCATATACCAGGGGCTTGATAACATCTATTCTCTTTTCTAATATATGAAAGGCAGAGAACAGCTGAAAACTTGGGGCAGAGAAACCAGAATGGTGCGTTTTGGACGGCTCCAAGGAGAAAAGAACTGTGTTGCTGCTTGAATTTTCGAAGAAACAGAGGAACCACTAGAACTCTGGATGTCACCAGAAGGCAGAAACGAAATCCAGCTACTCCCTGGCAAGGCTAAAGCACACTCCACAGAAAAGCCCGGAACACTCCAGTCTGGCTGCAGCCTCCGAGTTCCCTCCGGGTAGCAATGGTTCGTTTCCGGTTTGAAAGACAGCGGCTTAGACAAGGGGCCCCAGAGTAAAGGCTCCTTGGCCCGGGACATGCCATCTGCCCAGCATTAAGCAAGACGGCAGGTCAGGACAGAAGCACAGTCATTCCAAGTGTGATTTATGCTCCGTCCTTGAACACGGCAGGAAGACTGCAAAAGATATTTGAAGCCAATCTTTCCTCTAATGAATGTGACCGTGTGGACGCTAAGCCCCACTCGCCGACCCCGCTGGCCTGTTAGGTAAATTGCCCAGGTGGACTCCGTGAACCTGGAGCAAACCGCCTATCTGGGTAGGAAATACCTGAAGGCCAGTGGTCACTGCTACATCCACGCTCAGCACACGGGCTAAACTCAGGCCAGACACGGATACCCAGGGTATTACTCGAGGGACATCAGGCTGCAGCTGACAAGGGAACCTGTTCCTCTGGGCGCAAAGCAGCCTGGAGCGTGGCGGCTATGGCCTACCGGAGGAGAGGAAACAAAGTGTGGCCCTCCCAGGGCTCGCTCCCGCAGTATGCGGGCAGAACTCCAGCAGACTTCAAAGGTGCTGCTGAGAACAGCTGCCGCCCTGGCCCGCCGAGGGGGTCGCTTCCACGATCATGTTGCCATCCGTACTTGGCGGACGGGCGAATGCAAATATTTCAGATACGAGCTATGAGTTTAAACAGATGAGAAAAGAAGTGTGAAACAGCTTGGAGATTTGCTTGCAAAAGAAATCTCAGAATTCCAGGAAAAGCATTTAAAATCTGGAGCTTCGTGAGCTATTTCAGAAGTCCCGAGAGGGTAACTGGTATGTGATTGTATGACGCATAGAAGATTTTTCCCTGAATGCACACACAGATTGCACTCGTGTGACTGTATGATACATAGAAGTTTTTTTCCCTGAATGCACACACAGATTGCACTCCAGCATAGCACATGAGCACAGGAGTGTGAACTGAACAATAATTTCCCAAGCCCAAGTACGTGTACGAGGTCAGTAATATTTTTCTCATTGAAATATAGATTGTATTGCTTTGGATGTTTGACAAGAGTGGAAACATACGTGCTCCTGGTTAATGCAGAAGGCCACGACGCAGTGGGCGTACTTACAGGAGGACCTGTGTGGGGGAGGGAGGGGAGAGAGAGAAGGAAGAGACGAGTTAGTGAGCAGGTGAAAACAGGCTAAGATTACACAGCAGACTAAGCCACTGTCACAAACATCATGATGCAAGGGACACAACCGCGATTTAGAACTCAGCGAAGCTTGGTCTCCTTTTCAGGCTATGGTCCCGGTGAGATTGGCTCAGAAAACACATTTACACTCACACGCAAACATTCCATCTAATTTCAAGGAGCTTTCAGATTCCCCAAGGCCTGTCCATGTACTACCAAGAGGTTCATATATCTTAAGGAAAGACACTCTAACTTGTAAAAGTTCTGTTAGAATATCAAATGGGGGGGGACCAGCAGTTAGCATAATGGCTATGTTGCTGGACTCCCACGTAGTTAACCATGGTTCGAGTCCCGGACTCGGTGGCTTAAAACTCACATCATGTGCGTGTGTGTGCATGCCCAAGATCCCGAGAGGAGAATGGAGGAGAAGGGATTGCAGCGTGACCATCCCCCCAGGGGGTGATTTCTCGCTTTCAGTCTGTCTGTCTCTCTCTGTCTGTCTGGAGAGTGCACACACTGTATGGCAAAAACCTCTCAAAAAAAAAAAACAAAGAATATAAAATGGGGGTCGTCGGTCCTTCACAATAGACCAGTCATAGCTCATTGATGTAACCAATGTCTTAGGTTTGGCAAAACAGTGAAATCGCAGATGTGCCTATCATTTGTTCAAAGAATGCTTTTTATTCACTAGCATAGTCACTATATAAAAGACAAATTCCTAATATTTAGATATGTCTCTTAAAACCTGTGTTCTCAACAAAATAAAGGAAAAGTCTAAGAAAATGTCAAATCTCACACCCCATACTCTGCATTGGAATACCAAATAGGAAGTTGGAAAGTGAAGTTTGTATTTCCTATAAACATGGCCCAGTGCAAGCTGCTCCACCTTCTCTCCTCGCCCTTCCTCTCTCGGTCAGTATCCAGTTCCGTGTGTCCGACGGGTCAAGCCCATTTCAGTGCACTAACGGTTACGCCTCAGAACAAATGCAGGGGCATCCTCTAGCCTACAGTTTCGGGCTTCGCGAAGGGATACCGAGGCCAGCCTCCGATCACTTAGACCCCGGAGGTTTAGAGATGGCTTCTGAGGATACTCGTACGGGAATTAAGCAACTCCACTGCCCAAAGAATGGGTTTTCACAAACCCCTTTGTTGAGACAAACGTCATGGGTCTCCTGCCTGCTCTTAGTAGGTCAGTGTCTACTGCTCCAGCACTCGGGAAATGCTGCTTTAATACTGGTAGACAAGCACAGGAGACGGGGACGTTTCACAGCACAGTCCAGTCCGAGCTTAAATCACCTTCTCTTGCCAGGGAGAAGCGATGGCCTGACCAACTGCATGTGGTCATTTACATTTTTGGAATCTTAGACTTTTAGCCAACAAGCAAAACAGTAAGTAAACCTTCTTATCAGGATTATCTTGGTCTCAAAAAAATTTATCTGAACATTTTGTTTACTTTGTATACAGGGATTTGGCCTAAAAGCAAAACTGCGCTGCAGTGGGAGCCAGGACAACTGGTTCTGTTTCAAGTTCTGCTTGTACAAGGCTGCACGGTCTTGGCTGGATCACCTGACCGCTCTGGCCTCTGCTTCCCAACTACAAAATGAAAATGCTGGCTTGATGACCAAGGCGCCTGTCATCACCAACCTCTGTGACTACAGAAGGACCCAGATTCCCCAAGGATGAGGATGGAAGCACGAGGCTTGTACCAGCTGACTAAGCCATAAGGCTCCCTAGACCTGCGCCCTGGTGGCCCAAGGCAGTCGCTGCTGCAGAGAGCTGGCACCTCGTGAGCACCTGCAGGGCGGGGCCCTCCCTGCGCAGGAAGGACCACGTGCTCGGCACGGTTACAGAGGCCAAGACCCGGAGCCAGTGGTTAGGAAACTGTAACGAACCAGCTTGGGGAGACTCTCCTTACAGTTTGATGGACGTAGGAGAAGATGGAGAAGGTCCTGGATCTAGTAGAGATTTAAATGCACACAACCTCCAGCAAGCCCGTCCCGTCATAAATCAGTAGAAACAACGTGAGGATCTGACCAGGGCCTGGTCCACACGGGAGACTTACCAGATTCTCCTCTTCGACCTCTCTTGCCTCGTTTACCCGGAGGGCCTGAAATACAAAGAGAATTTTTTTTGAGTATAGTTATTTTTATTTCTGAGTCCAAAATGCTTAGTAAATCATTTGCATACATTTTCTCACTTTTCTTTTTTTAAGAGAAATTTGTACTATAGGGTACATGCACTTGCCAGAGACATAGAGAGAGACAGTAAAAGAGAAAGTGAGAGATCATCCCCAAGGGGTGGCCACGCCACAATCCTTTCTCCTCCCAGACTTTTGGGGCACGCACACATGCCCAACATGAGTTGTAAGTCACCAGGTCTGGGACTCAGACTGCAGTTGACAACACGGGAGTCCAGTGCCCTAACCACTGCTCCACCTGGCCTTGTCACATTGCTCTAAACTACAGACTTTGAGACTTCAGGAAAGGGACCAGATTATTCACAACGGCCAGAACTGTCCTCGGTGTGTCAGCTAAACCCCTTGGCTTCCTTTAACTACAAAAGCTTCTCCAGTTACCCAGTCGCCGGCTGTTACTGAGGAACACTAAAGATTCAGAATTTGTGCTCGCCCTGCTTGGATGTCATCAAGAAGGAAAGGTTTTGCTGAGCAAACCGGCCGTCCAGAGGTTTCATGTTTCTCGGGAATGCTTCTATTCGGAGGGTTTCAGAAAGTGTATTAGCAGTTAAATGGACTAACTTCACGTGACGACAGTTTCTCTTCATTTGGGTCCACCATCATCTCTGAAAGGATTTAGTAAGCCTTGCATTAAATGCATGTATCATTAATAAAACAATCCCTCTGCAACGCCTGTTGTATTAAATAGGCCATACTGAAATTGTTCATCAGGAACTGCCCGAATAAAATCGCCGCCCTTTGAACTGGACAGCGTCCAGGTGGTAACCACAAGTCTAACTTCTCTACGGGGGCGGGCCCATCGTCGTCACTCAAAAATGAGCCTTTATGAGGATCCTGTTTTAAAAGTATAGGGAGGCGTTTTCCTTCCTCGGGTTCGTGTGTGCCGGGCTTAGCGCGAGAGGGCGGGCGCGCGTGGCTCCGAGTCTTAATTCTCCGTCGCTCCTGTCCTGCCTCCTTGTTGATAGTGGATTACGGCCCAGGCAAATAGAAGAGGGTGATGAGCCCAGGAGAGACTGAAGCCTTAGCCACCCGCCAGGGGAGGAGGGCCAAGGAAAACAGAGGCTTCCTGGGTATAAAGGGGGGCTCCCAACCAGGACGGGCGGCCTCCCAGCCCTCGGAGGTTCCGGACACAGCCGCCAGGCCTCAGAGCCCAGCCCCAGCGAGACCCGAGCGCGGCTGCAGCAGAGAACCCCATCGGGAGGATCAAAATGGCGCGGGCCACTGGTTCCCCCGAACCCTTACACAGACTCAGTCTGGCCAGCTGTATTTCCCGAGAGGACATAAAACAATTAAGCTATAAAATCGATTGACAATATTAGGAAAATATTAAATCCGAAACTGCCATTAGAAATCATAGATTTCTTTCTGTGTTCTGAGATAGGAGGGTTCTCGTCATGTTCAAGGTATTCTTGGTTAGGTTTGGAACAGGAAGAGAACCGTGTAAGTAGGCAAATAAACCCGGTGAGCCCTAATAGGTGTGAAAAGGTATAACTTACACACCTGCTCTAATACATGCCTATGTACATGTGTGTGTGTGTGTGTTGTGTGTATGTTTATATATAAAGTGACATGTTCTGATACAGAGAACTTCTTAAGATCAGAAATCAGATTTTTTTCCTATTGCATCATCGCTTCAGCTAAGAACTACCCAGCCCCTTGTAGCTATCTCCGATGTCTGTGATTCACACAGTAGGTCTGTTTGTAAAGCCAGTGTGGAAGAGATAATAGGTGGGTATTACCCTGAATTGGATATAGGACTCTCAAGATGGAATTTATTCTTCAAGTAGCGAGTGAAGGTAATTTGCACTTTCATACACGGAAGGAGAAACTTAGGAAGGCTCAAGAAGGGAAAATGCTGGGACCACCAGAGGGAAGTTATGACGGAAGATCTGAACACGCCTGCTGGCTCACGCCGACCACGGAGCCAGCCGGCCGTCCCGACTTTCGGACGGGACTTAGAGGCCTGTAACCCTCACCTACTGGAAAGCAGCTTACTCACCAGTTTACTCTGAAGAATGCTCCCTTCAGACCATAGAATGCGTCAAGTAAAAACAGCACATGCATAAGTGTCTTAAAAATAACTTGAGGGACCAGCAGGTGGCATGGTGGTTAAGGAGCTGGACACTCCCACATGGCCGACCAGGGTTCAAGTCCTGAATCTGGTGGCTTGCTTTCTCACTTCCTCTCTCTCTCATTCTCACCCTCTGTCTCTCTCTGCTCAAACTAAAAAATAAATTAAATAAATAAATAAATAAATATTTTTTAAAAAACTTGAAATAAATTTTAATATTTTTTTAAATATCAGAAATCAAAATTTCTGAAAATATCTGCCTTAAATACTCAACCAAACTTAAAGAAATGACTCAAACACTGTGAAAAATCTCCTTGCTACCCGAGAACTGAGAGAGGACAGAATGGGAGGAATTTGGCCAGAGATGCATGGGGTATGACAGGGTTTCACAAACAAGTGTAACGTTTGAGAGAGAAGAAAAGCTAAGCTAGGCTATGAGAAGACAGGAATGAAAGTTGGACTAGACTTACAGGGAAAACCCTGGCTCGAGGAGCAGCATGCACCGATTCCGGGAACAGAGGGCTCGGGGTTAGCCTGAGCTCAGTGAGCTGATAGGGACTGATCCTCAGGAGGAGCGAGGCCAAGATCTCACTCACACAAGAATAAACTGACGTCCGGAGAAGTCCCCTGCACAGATAAGACAATTTGCCCTTGCTACAGAATTCAGGATGAAAATGATCGTGATAAAAGTTGAAGAGATGGGATAAAGTTGACAATGGACAGTGGGCAGATCCCAGAATGAGAATATGAAAAATCAGAAAAGACCAAGGGTAGACGCTCTGGCAAAGCCGCTACTGACAGTCGTTGAAAAGAGAGCGCCGTTCCCTTCCACACTGAGCGGAAGTGCCAGCCGGGCGAGCCTCAAACACACACAGAAGCAGAACATGACTCATTCACGGTGCTTGGCCAGAGTTCTGTAACGGAAGACCTCGTGAATTATTTGAGCAGAAAGGCAAGACTCAACAAAAGAACCACTCAAAAATGTGAATGGAAGAGAAAACGCAGAAGGGATTGGCCAGAGGCAGAGGACACCAGCAAGCAGAGACCCCTGCAATGACGCAGGAGCCACTCAAAGAAGGGGCCAGCCGACAAGGTGGCCGTCCTCGAGCCGAACTTGAGCACAGCAGTCCTGCTCGCTGCTGGAAACAGTCCTTGCCAACTCTGCAAAATGCAGAGACTGTCAGCCTGAGACAGGAACTGGGAAAAAGCAGCCATGGTGCCGCAGGGATCCGTGACTGTGGGCCCAGCTACAGGCAGGGTCGGCCACAGCATAGCCACACCCCTACGACTGTGGTCCTGCAGCCCCACAGGAGCACCGCCGACTCCCGTCTCTCCTCACTGGCAACACCCCAACCTGCACAAGGCTGGGCTCTGGGGACCACACCTGCCCAGAGCCAAAGCTCTGCTCATTCCATGTCCGCATGCTCTTGAGGCCCAGCAAGTGTCTGAAGTAGCTGGGGCGCTCTGGAGTGCTCTGGAGCACTCTGACCCGCTCAGCGGAGGGGCTCCCGGGGCCGGTGGGCTCCACTGGTCACCTGCTCCTGCTCATGCCTCCTGCGCCTGCTAGGATCTCAAGGCTGAGCTTAAAGGTAACCTTCCAGGGTACTTCCAGAAGAGGTTGCTCACCCATTTCATTCGTATTTTGAAATATTTGTGTTTTTTTTTTGAAGAGGTTGCTCACCCATTTCATTTGTATTTTGAAATATTTGTGGTTTTTTTTTTGGGGGGGGGAGGTTTTTGCTATAGGGCACGTGTGCTCGCCAGAGAGACAGAAAGCGAGAAATCACCCCCCAGGGGGGGAAGGCCACGCCGCAATCCCTTCTCCTCCATTCTCCTCTCTGGATCTTGGGCATGCACGCACATGCACCCGGTGTGAGTTTAAGCCACCGGGTCCAGGACTCAAACTGCAGTCTACTAAATGGGAGTCTAGCCACATAGCCATCACGCCAACTATTGGTCCCGAAACATTTGTATCTTTAGAAACATTCGCAATTAAACATACAGTAAGAGATGAAAGTTTCATAAATAGCAATTGGCTGAGGTGTTTTGCTTTATTTTGATTTCCTACTTTGAATTTTCTTTTTTAAAAGATTTTTCCTATGACACGTGTACTCTCCATAGAGAGAGACACAGAAAGTGAGAAATTACCCCTTGGGGTAATGGCGACATTGTAATCTAGTCTCGTCTCAGGATTTTGGGCACGCATGCACACATGCCCGGCATGAGGTTCAAGCCACCGGGTCCAAGACTCAAACTGCAGTCAACTGCGTGGGAGTCCAGTGCTTTAACCACCAAGGTACTGCTGGCTTTCAACACACATTTGGGTTTCAACACGGGTTCCTGGCTGTGTTTACAGAGAAGGTATCGCATGAATAGAAAGCAGCAGGGCGGCCGAGCCAGGCTGTCCCCAGGTGTGTGCCGTGCTCCTGCGATGAGAGAAATGCAGCCACCCCGCACAGAAGGGCCCCGCGGGCCCCCACGGCACGGAGAGCGGAGAACAGACTCCTGACCGAGCTTCCATGGCGGAGGTGCTGAATATCTGAAGTCACGCAGTCGGCGCTCAACGCATGTAACCCCTTTTGTGTATACGCTCTCCTTACTCAGTACTGACGACCGTGTGGTTGAGTGTCTGATGGCCCAGCCATGCTGGCACAGGTGGCAGGTACCACCCCACAATGCTGAAGCCATGTGGAAGGCCTGGGGTTCAAGTCCTGGGTCACCCGAACAAGCCAGTGAACAGGTGGCATGGCAGGACCCTGTCGGGGACCCCTGTCTCTTCCTGAGTCTGTCTCTCTGAGAAGAAATAAGTGAATGGATTATTTTTGTGAAAGATTACAAGAGA